GTGTGTGTATGTGTACTTAACCATATTTTGGGGACAAATTTGTACCCAAAAGTGAGCAAAATCGCCAAAAACCTCCATTTGGGGAGGTTAAAAAGTGTATAACTATCTGTATATAAAAACAATAGAAGTCTATGTAATGTCCCCATTTAGATGGCTAAGTAAACGTGTGTGTGTGTGTGTCTTCAGTGTCACATGATTGTTCAGAAATCATTCTGATATGCTGATTTGCTGTTCAAGATACATTTCTTATTATTATGAATGTTGAAAATAGTTGTGCTGCTTAATATTTTTATAGAAACCATGATACTACTATTTGAAAGAAATCCTTTTATTCAGCAAAGATGCATTAATAAAGATCAGGTTCCACAAAAATATTAAGCAACAAAAACTTTTTCCAGCATTGATGATAATAAGAACCATTATTAATAATTAAAATTGGGTGCCAAATCAGCATATTTATTTATGATTTTTGAAGGATCATGTTAAAAACATTAATATATATATATATATATAAATAAACGGGTGCACATAAATGGTGAAAAAGAGCGACCAAAATAAAAAATGCGCTGGGTAAAAGTTCAGACGGCTCATTTGCATACTAACATGGCTGACAGCTGTTAACACACAATCACTGTTTTAGATCGAGTAATACTGTATAAATATTTCTATTCGAACTGAATGCATAAATTTAGGCTGTGCGCTTCCGGTTTCAGAGCAAAACTGAGAAACTGAAACTGACGCGCTTCACTCTGCAGCGCCTATACTTGGCAGCAACCCGCCTAAATAAAAGCTTGCTGATTTTAGGTTTACATTTTTTTTTAATTCATATAAAAAGTAAAAAAAAAAATTTGTTTAAATCAATATACTGACATGCTATGACACACAAGTATGTAGCCATTAAAAGTGGCTACCTGGCATCAGGGTTGTATGTTGATTCCAGGGTATTCTCTTGTTCATAGATGGATCTGTAAATGGGGCTACAGGCTTTTCTCCACCAGACTCAACCACAGGAGTGGACAAAGACAGGAAGGAGGGGGATGAAGATGAGGATGACAGTGAGCCAAATGCCGCCGAGTTGAGACGACGTCGCCTGCGTAAACTGGAGACCACTAATACTCCTGACCACTGATGACGTGATCCATTTAAACGTGCAATTGTGAATTGACTTTGACAGTAGAAATGCTTCTCTTGGGCACTTGGCATGTTGAGATGTCAGATTATCTGAGGAAAGTTCATGTGTTCTTATATGTTCATTTAAATGAGGCACATCAAGCACTTCCCATTGTGTGGAGGATTTGTCAGTGTAACGCGTACGGAAGACACTGGGGCAGAGAACTGGTTTCTGGGTAACCACACATAAAGATATTAAGGATAAAAAAAACCTTGCACCTTGAAAGTCCGCTGTGACGTCTGACTCGAGTAATGCTGAGACTTTCCTCTCTGAATGTGATTTCTGTTTCTCAGAGGAACAAAGTCTGTTGATTTCTTGTGTGCCCTTAAAACTTGATGTTTTCCCCTTCTTTGTGTATTTTCATTATTTCAAGCGCTACATCGTAGATTTTTTTCTTAGATTAACTTTGGTTATGGGTAAAAGATTATCTTTAACCAAATATCTAAATTAACTTACTGTACATAATGTATAAAGTGTTTTAATAGGAGGATCTGTACATACAGCACAATAAATTGTTCGAAGGAGACGTATGTCTAGTGAGTTTATCAACTATACCATTTAAAGGTATGGGGTCAGTATGCTCTTTTTTAAATATTTGTATTCAACAAGGAATCGGTTAATTAAAAGTAACATTAAAGACATTAATAATGTTACAAGAGATTTCGATTTCAAACAAATGGTGTTCTTTTGAATCTTGAACAAAAATGTATCATGGTTTCCACAAAAATATTAGGCAGCACAACTGTTTTTAACACTGATACTAATCAGAAATGTTTCTTGAGCAGCAAATCAGTATATTAGAATGATTTCTGAAGGATCATGTGACACTGAAGACTGGAGTAATGATGCTGAAAAATTATTTTAATAAATGCAGCCTTGGTGAGCATGAGACTTGTTAAATTTTTTTTAAATATCATACCTACTCCAAACTAAAGTACAAAAAAATAAATGTCATAATGACCATTAACCTAAGATAATAATCTTTAAAGGGGTCATATGATGTTGATAAAAAGAACATTATTTTGTGTATTTGGTGTAATTAAATGTTTATGCGGTTTAAAGTTAAAAAACACATTATTTTCCACATACTGTACATTATTGTTTCTCCTCTATGCCCCGCCTTTCTGAAACACGTCGATTTTTACAAAGCTCATCGGTCTGAAAAGCGAGGTGTGCTCTGATTGGCCAGCTATCCAGTGCATTGTGATTGGCCGAATACCTCAAGCGTGTGACGGAAATGTTACGCCCCTTACCATACTATGATGCTGCCTCCCGGAGCGACGAGACAACAACATGAAAACCCATTATAAACAAGGCATTTGTTGCATCCAGTGGGAACATAATTACGGATTATAATGACTTATAATGTCTTTTTACGTGTTGCGTTGCATCGCGCCGTGTAAACAAAACCATGTCTGCATTTGTGATCAGGAATGACAAACAAGCACTAACGTTACTCTACACTGCTCAAAATTCACGTTTGAATCATCAGTGGCAAATCCTTTAAAT